GTTAGACGTGGGGCTTCACTCGTGGTTAAATCGTGTGGTGGAGTTTTATTTAGTGGGCATTACTGGGTTGTTGCTTCATAGTCGAGCAGCCCAGTAAGTGTAATATCACTCCATCATAGCTAACGTAAAACAAGCAAACAAGCCGTGGGCCCTATATCTTCACGAAGGTATTGTAACCGTGTTAGAGTGTACTTTGTGAGCTGTAGTGCTGGTCATACCATACAGTTCGAATGCCTACGCGTCGATACGTATAAGGATGCCCAAGCAATTCTCGTTAATACTAAGTTCCACAGTTTAACCACAAGCAAAACAACAACACATGACATTTTCTGTGACCACCAGTAAAAAGTCAAATGGCCACACGTTTTTATCCTATTCCCCTGAGTGAGGCACGGCGAGTTCGACGAGTACGGTATGGCGAATGGAGGTGAGAGGAATGCGAGTTGCACTAAGCTTATGGTGGAGAGATGGAGGAGAGTCAGCCTTCCACAACGCCCCCAAGCTAACACCATCGTGGCTCCTGGTCCTACTAACGTTAACGCCATACTGTACCATTAACGCGTGTTGGGTAGCTGTTGGTATAAGGAACCATTTTTGCCTTAACGTTAGTCGTAGATGGGTACACCTTTCCCATGCATAAGCCACCAACCAGTACAGTAGTTCAGGCAATGTTGTATTCGTACGCTTGACGTTAGCCAGTCCTTGGACACTAAGAATGACGCACACCTCCAACTTGAGACGATATCGCCATGCATTTGTGACGCCCAAAGAACTTGAATTTGTGCGTTTCAAAATCCTTCAACTCACGCTGAGTATACTTTAATCCAGTGTTTCGTGAATGTTTCGTAAATCAGTGGTATTTTTCTATACTTGAAGCACCATACAAAATCCAGCATAAAGGAAAATCGATACTTCCGTTTTACGAAACAAAATGTTTCGTGACTGCATTGAAATTGTTTCGTATTTGTTTCGTAAACCGTGTATATCTAACGTTATCTTACTCTTGGAATTCCAAAATGGCTAATCTCAAATATTTGAAATTCAGTTTGGAAATACTACGTAGTACTGTACAATACAGCACATCACAATTAAAAAAAACACCTCGCCGCAAGCCCCACCATCCCCCCGCACTCGGACGTCTAACGTTCGACGTATGCGAAGTCCGCTAGCTGTAGGCACAAAAGATTCCTTAGCTAAGCTGATAAACGCGAATAAACGTCACTATACATACTGTATACCTCCCTGCACTATACTAGTACGTACTATTAATAGTATAAAAGTACTCAAGGAGTACTAGACTCGTACACGACTATCCAGTCCTCATTACAAATACTGTACCGTGAGTTCAAGTACTACATGTACAGTACTACTTCGAAGTAGTACGTACTACTACGTAGTATTAATACGTAGTACTGTACACTATTACTACGGTACATTGTGCGTACTAGTATTATTAATAATTACTGTAACGTTATTAATAACAGTAAGGTTCGTGCCTCGCCATCGTATCCGGATTATTTTCGCACATGGATAATTATCCGGAATTGAGGTGGCCGAAAGGACACACGACCCTTGGGCGGCAATTCTATCATGGACGTGAACCGCATTTTCTCGGCTGAGCAGATCGAAGTGCCTCCCGATCTGCCGCTGGTGCTCAAGGAATGGACCAAGGACGTCATTCGGGCATCCCCGGAGGACTTGGCCATCTTTTCGTTGCAGTGGTTCAAAGCGCGCGCCGACGAGCGCAGCGGCGGGTCCCTCTCGGCCGACGAGCTGGAAAACATCCGCAAGTTGTTTGAGCAGTACGACGTCGACGGCAACGGCAAGATGGAGGCGCGCGAGCTCAAGAGCTTCATTGTGCAAGGTACGATGCCTCCATGTCTTCACCAGCGGTTGAACAACGGTTGCATTAGATCTGGGACTGGACATCTCCGACAACGACCTCGACGCGGTCGTGGCTCTCCTTGACACGGACAACTCGGGATTTCTCGACTTTCACGAGATCATGAAGTGGTATGGCGGTCAAATCTAGCTGGTCTCTTTCTCGTGCTTAAGACAAATCAAACTCTCCAAACTCTCATTGTGTTTATTCCAACGTGGCATAACTCACCGACGAATCCGCGGCGGTTTCCGTCTGCCAGATGCGGATCGTGCCGTCTTCGGACCCGGTCGCAAAGCTGTCGCCGTTGGGCGCGTAGCGCAAACATCGCACGGGGCCATGATGGCCCTTGTGGCATTCCAAGAGCGCGCCGTCCAGGCCAAACACGCGCACCCACGTGTCGGAGCCGCCGGCGATGAAGCGATCGAGTGACGGATGCAGCGACGCGCCCCCTTCCTCTGTGAACGCGATGGGCATGTCCACATGCGACGTCTCGGTCCAGGACGTCGTGTCGAAGAAGTGGACCTTGGACCCGGCCGCCACCGTGAGAATGGTCCCGCCGCGCGAAGCTTCCATGTCCATCACGCCAGAACTGCTCACGTGCAACGTTGCGACGCGAGCCTGGGTCTCGACGTCCCACACGACCACGTTACCTACCAAGAGTCAGTAAAACGGAGGGGAAAGAAAGGTAGAGGGAGTGAGATACCCGCCGTGTCGCCCGTGGCAACCGTCACCGCACCCTTGGGACTCGGAATCTCAACGATCTTGCGAATGACGTCGTCGGTCTGCAATTGGTAAAGGGGAGCTGTCGCTTCCGAGCCCAGGTCGAACACACGCAGGAGCTTCTCGTGCCCGCCAGTCGCGATCCACGCGCTGTTGCGAAGAAATTCCACGCTTTTCACCACGTGTTTGTGGTCGAACGTCCGCACGACATCGCCCGTCACGGCATTCCAGATTTTCACGCTAAAGTCGGCGCTGGCGGTGGCAGCAAGCAAGCCATCGGCACTTAACTTTGCAGACCACGTGGCCCCCTTATGTCCTTCAAATGTTCCTATCCAGTTGCCCGATCGACCACATCGCAGCATTGGCAGTTTGTCATGGCAGGCGGAAATCAAAAGGTAGTGGTCGGCGGGTTCAGTGGGAGACGCGTTGGGGTTGACGCTGGGACTGGGACAGTACTGGACCTCCGCCAACGGACGCGAGTGGCCTGGGCACACGATCGGGATCTGTCGGCGCTGGTTGTTGCTTGTGTCCACAGATGCTGCCGTTGCCGCCATCCTCTTGCACGCTTCCAAGGCTTCGGTGAATTCAAATCCACGGTTGCCCTAGGTTATCCGGACATTATTCCGGATAACTTGCATTCGACAAGACCAAGGACTGTACCTGAGGTCCCGCACTTCGAGAGCTGACATTGTACTAACGTTAGTAGTGTTTATGAGTTGTGGCCATTTCCTTCATGGTCATGGCATCTACCGGTACTACAATCTGTCGATACTCATGTTCTTAGTTGGAGGAGCTCATAATTTTAGTCCGAACGTTTTTTCTGGCTCGCAATCATGGGTTTCACTGAAACGGCAGCGGTTTCATTAACGGCGCGCTTGGTTTACTGGTCACGGCAGTGCCTGATTGGACATGGCGTACCTTTTGTTGAAGTAGTTTCACCATTTGCGCAATGAACTCGTCCTTGCCCCATCGTCGGTTGAGTGAGGCCGCTTCGTGCGCGTACAAGAGCGGCAAGTGTCCACATCCTCGAGCTACGAAATTAAACGGCCGACTCCACTCGCTGTGTGCCCCCACGGAGAGAAACAAAACGCCCATCAACGTATAAGCGACCGCAAAGCTCGTTGAGTCAACCCCATTGGTCGTGATGACGACTACAGTGACGACATCCACAGTTGGCACGATCAAATCGTAACCTTGTCACCCGTTTCCAAGCTGGTTTGCAGCTGCTAAGGGCCGCGTCGCCACCATCAGTGCTTCCCCCTTTTCAAGCCCTTCAAAAGAGTTTCTCAGTACGAATTTGGACAGTAAGAAGGTCGCAAGTCCACTTCACGAGGCAATCGGGTGCACAAGCCCCCTCCATTTATGAGTGCTAAGCAATAGTTGTGCATAATGGGATCATTCGTTCAGTCCTACGTATACCACGAATTGCTAGCATGAACTTTCAATGCCGACTACATACGAATACCACAGCAGCACTTGCAATTTGAACACGCCTGATTATTTGTTTGGGGGCGTTCTATATTTAGCCTTCTTGTACGCCCGCCATGTTGCCATTCTCGGATTCGACATTCAGTATGCGCACAGTCCGTAGCCTTGTTGTGTTGTCGACCATCGCGTTGTCCACAGCGGACGAAGCAACGACGTGTGAAAAACACGATTTGATGGCTGTGCTTGGGGTGGCCATGCTGCCCGCTTGGCCGAATTGTTCGCAAGCTATGGGGGCTTCCGATGCGACTGCTCCAGCGCTTGACCTCGCCGTGGATTCTGCCATGAGCTTGACAACATTTTGCAACACACCCGCGTGCGTCCAAAATCTACAGGCCCTCTACATGAACTTACCGAATTGTGTTGGCCCTAACGGCCTCAACATCCAAAAACTCAATCTTTACACGAAGGACATCCTCTGCGACACGCTGCCCCCTGCGCTGCTCACCCAATTGCCGTCAGAGCGGTGCACGGAAGTGGACCTTGCGGTGCTCGAGTTCCTGTGGATGTTTCCTCCTTGGAAGAACTGCACCTCGAAACTCCTGGGACCCCCCCTGGCCCAGCTTATGACGGGCAACGCTTCGCAAACGGCCGCGTTTTGTGCTGCTCCCGCTTGTGTTGAATATGCCAACAGCATTTTCCAACGCATGCCTAGCTGCACCAACAACTCAACTTTGCAAGTGGGCTGGGCGAACCTTGGCGCCAACTCCAAGTCCGACCTGCTTGCCAAGCTGTCGGCAACCTGTACACCCACAATCAAAAGTACAGCAATGGGTACTACCGGTAGTGCCGCATCGCTTCGAGCCCTTGCGTTTGTGGCAATGGGGGTGGCTTTCGTGCATTTTTAACCTGCCGTAAATGACAATGCAAGAAATTCACGCGATTTGTTTACGTCGAGGCTTAGTATTTCACAGGTCAAGACCTATATTTAGATGAGGAACTTGCAGGCGACAGTCTCGTGCGTCGCATGCCACGGCCTCTTCTTCCCTGCGTCGCTGCCCATCCACGAAAAGACATGCTTTCGGAAAAACGCATTCGTGAACGTGTCGTGCCCCGTCTGCAAAACCCTCGTTCGGTTTGGTTCACTAGAGCTTCCAAATCGCCGACTTATCATTACACCACTTTGATTCTAGGTCTGGACACTTCCATAACCATGTTGCCAGCTGCAACCTGGCGGCCCCACTGCCACCAGTCGTTCGACCTGCAGTTCCCAAGCCAAAAAGCGCCGCGGGCCCAATTGGCCTCCCCGAAGCCGACGGTCGAATCAAGTGCCGAAAGTGCAAACGCAGCTTTGCACCAGTACAAACACGAATAATACCCTTCAACAAGACAATTTACGTCTTACAACTTGCAGGATCGCGTGGAAAAGCATCAGTCGGTATGCCAAGAGCGCGAGCGCACCACCCATAACCAATTCCATCACACCGAGCCAGCGCCCCTTGCTCGGCACCCCACGACCACCGCGTGGCGACCGCCAACTCGAGACAACCTCCAGGTAAGTTATATTCTTGATTCCCTTTCCCAATTCGTGACTCTCTGCTTACTCCCCATGTAGAAAAAGGTACCGTGTTTTGAGCAGCAGGAGTTGACACAACCTCTGTAGCGTCCATCGGTGAAGTCTACTGGTCAAGTCTTGCGACCTATGACCATGCCACCAGTGGACATGAAGCCGCGAAAGATTCAGGCAGCCCCATACGATATGATATTGCGAGATCGCAGCAATCAACGGGGCTTTGCCTCGGGTGGCATTGGGCTATCGAACGCAACGTCGGCAGGGAACCCGCTATCCCGTCGACCGTATTGAGTATTAACATGACTATTATTTCTCTACAACTACACCACTTCCATGACTAAAATGGCGCCCGCGAGGACCCACTTGGTTGGTGGAGATTTGGACCGCAGCTGGGCCGTGAAGATGTAGGTCGGGCCGCGTTGTTGGGTGCGGTACACGGGGCATTCAAAGATATTGGCAGCCGTGTTTTGGGTGGCCATGACGGCGCGGCAGTTGATGATGGGCATAGGGCAGCTCATCTCCTTGGGCAAACTCGAGTCGATGATCCCAGAGCTCAGATCCCACCTCGCCCCTTCAAGACTGAGACCGTAAATGAACTGGCCGTCGCGACTGGGGGCGTCCAGCGAGTCCAGCATGCGCTTGGTGATGTCTGTGACGATCTGGAGTTTGTCGAGCTCGACGCTGTTCTTTTTCGCCATGGACTGCAAGATCGCGGTCAAGAACGACTGCGGGTTGAACAACCCACTGATCCAAATTACGAGGGGCAACTCCCCCGACGACGAGCTCCACTCCTGCAGCTGTGTGATGCGGTGTTCAAGGTCCGACAGCCACGGCGACAGCGACCGGTTGCTCGGGTACGCCACACACTCCCACGACGACGGGACTTTATCCAGAAACAGACTGTCTTGCAACTTTTCCATTGTGTCGCTCATGGTGAGGTCGCCGCGGAAGCCCAGGTCCAACTCGATCAACGTCCGAGTCATGTGCTCCAACAGCGTGTTCATTCGCTCCATCTCTTGCACGAGCACCGTTTGGAACGGATGTGGGTTGTCTGTTGCTAGCAAGTCCGACACGTCGAGGCGCAGGTCGCGGTAGTTCTCGAGCACATCCTGCAAAATTCCCTCCGCGACTGTCTGCGAACTGTCGACGGGCTCTGCGACGGCGGCAGCCGACGACGTGGACGGGAACGCGCCGAGTAGGACGGCGCCTTGGATGAGCTTCTCGCTCAGCTCCGTGCTAAACAGAATCTCCGTGTTGGGATGGAGCCCAAACGCCAACGTGGAATCCCCCACAAGACTCATCTCGACGTGTTCCAGCATCCGGTCAAACGACGAGTTGAGTTTCGGTGCCGAAAACAACTTGACGTCGGCATCATCGTCCAAGTACGGAAACATGCTCAGCTCGTCCAAGAGCTCGTCGCGCAAAAAGTATTGCAAGTACGTGTTGCATACAAGGCGGTCGAAGTCGTTGACGATGTGGCCGCCGTACATGATCTCCCCAAATAAGTAGCGCAAGTCTTGCCACGGAACTCTGGCCGGCGCATTCTCCATGTAATTGCCCAGAACTGTCGCGCTGGACGTCAAGTCGCCGGCCGAAAACGGATAGCTCATATTGAACCCCTACACGACAACAAGAAATATATTCAACACACAACACTAACCGACGACGTACTTGAGCTCCAAAACGCTTGCGCTCGAGCATGAGCGCGTGAAAGTAACACATGCCAAACAGAATACACCGCGTGCGCGGCTCCATGTCGTCGACATATGCTTTGGGAAAGCAAGATAAGGCGCGCTTGACGTTGGCTTTGAGTCCCGTGGGCGGCTCGTTTGTCAACTTGATCGACTTGTCTAGTACGCCGATGGGAATGAGGGGCGACGGGTCACTCGTGATGAACACGCGGCAGTCCGGGTGCACCTAGCCAATCCAATTCTAAGCACAAAGTATTAGACGATATTGGCACCTTGGCCGCGTCGTCGTGCATGCTGTTGAACCACTTGTCGAGCTCAAGCAGCCACTTGGGCATCAAGTGGACGTTGTTTAGCAACACCCAGTTGCCATTGCTCCATCCTTCGTGCAACGCCGCCATAGCGACCGTCTCTTGGCCTTGTCCGAGACTGATGTTGTGGTAATCGACGCCCTTACGTTTCCCGTACACTTGGGCAAGCTTGTCGACATTGGCGACGACATCCGTGCCCGGACTCAGGATGAAATACAACGGCGTCGACGGACTCGACTGCCCAAACGCATCTTGCAAGATCTGAAACGCATTGAATTGGCTGTCGCAATTCAAGTACTGGCCTCCAAACGGAAGGATGCCGCCGATAAATTGGTGCAAAGCCACCCCCAGCCGGTCGGACCGCAGACACCGCAGCACGAGCAGCTTCAAAAACGGCGCCTTGTCCAGTTCCCGCCAGTCGAGGGGAAGCTTTTCGGTTTCCGGGGTCGGCGAATTGTACCACTCGCGGAACCGCGCTTCGCTTTCGACGAGGTCGGACGAGAACTTTTCAAACCCGTCCAGCTGGATCAGCGCTTGCAGCATTTGCCACTATACATATATGAGAGGACGAATAAGGAGGACAAATTTTCAACAGTGGTGGGTTTGGACCTGGGAATCACTGAGCCACTCGATCACGTTCTCTTCGGAGACAACCTTCGGGCCACGCAAGAGAAACTTCATATAGTCGTCGCTGTATCCACTGAACTGGCCAATGGACCCCCGTTTGAGCAGGCTGAACGTGAGCTGTGTGAGGAACAAGAACTTGTGCTCTTCAAACAGCCCGCGACTGACCATCGTAAACAGCGTCAGCAATACACTTCGTCGAAGAAGGGACACGCGCTCCTGGGCGTCCGAGGTGGCCCCCGCGACGCTGTCCATGGCCTTGTAGAAAAAGACCAGGAACGCATCGAGCGAGTACTGGTACATGTGGTTAATCTTGGTGAGCAGCACCACGATGAAGAAGATCATGGCGCCTTCCGCGGCGATCGGGCGGTAGATCTCTCTCGCTTCGTTGATCACTCGCTCGGTCTCTTTGCCTCGCAAAATAGCCGAATTCACTTCATTCGCTGTTGCTTTCGTGGCTTCCAACGACTCGATGAGGGGCACGTCGGACAAGATGTCGTCGGGGGCGTTAGCCAGGCGCTCCAGCAACTGGTTCTCCAACTCGAGCAACTGGATCTTGTACTTGTTGAACGCTTGCTGGAGGTTGGTCTTGTCCATTTCGAGCACAGGCTGCTCCCGGTTAACCACTTGCTTGAGAAGTTGCTCCTCCAAGCCTTTTTCGGTCACGATAAAGTTGATCAACGTGCAATGGGCGACGATTTCCGGCCGGTAGTGCGGGTTCGACAGCTTCGTGTGCAAAAAGAGGCGGAACTTGGTGTCGTACTCGACTTCCTCGCCAGACATGCGAACAAACCAGTTTTTGCCCTTCTTGTACACTTGCCGCATCAAAATCGGCTCCAACGTCACGTCGATGGACTCGCCTACAAACAAACAACGCGCGTCACTACGTCGTGTTTACAACCGTAGAATGTACCGAGGTTTTCGAGCAAGACGGTGGCGCCGTCCGTAATGGCGTGGAGCAGCTGCTTTCGCCACGTCTTTTGCGTTGCATTCAGCACGACGAACGACAGCGCCACCCGCTCTGGTGCTTTGGCGGACTCGTTCACCCTGAGCACATCCTTCCTCGATGGCGGCGGTTCAACTTCCAAGCCATTCTGGGGATTGATGGACTTTTTGCGGTTCATTTTCGCCAGACTCAACGTTTTCCCCGAGTCCGAGTTCTTGTTCTTTTCCAGAGAAAACTCGGATGGTTCATGATCCAGCTTGGACTTGTCGGTGGGTTGCATCGGGGGAAGGGTGCGCTGACGAAGAAGTTCCTTGGACCGCAGCCAGTTGATGCCTTGGAGTTGTGGGTCGATCAAAAGGGGCCACCGCTCGCAGCACGAGATTATGCAACCGTTTTCAATCGACATGCGATCCGCTGGTAGCCCTAGTGCATACGCGTGACTTCTCCGTTTGAATAAACAACTAGTCGACTCCACCTTCGTTCATCCACTGCGCGATGGATGAATCATCGCTCAGCATTGCCACCGGGTCCATTGAGTTGGCTTTGTCGTCCGGACGGAGACTGATGGGAATCTCACGGCTGACTAGGTCTGGCAGCCACACCTACGAGATCAAAAACCCATGTGAATGCCCATTGAGTTAAACTAAAAACAAGAATTCCTACTTGGTTCCACAACTGGTGTCGAAAGGTCGCATCGAAGGCGCCAATGTAGCTCACAAATGCGGCGGCAAGCAATACATCGCCCACGAGGGACACTTCCCCTAGCTTTAACACGTCTATTTCACGCTTCCACCGTTCGTTTTCAGACGCTAGACCTAGAACCAGGCGTTCGGCCAGACCAAGTCGGTCTTGGCAGTTTTTGGCTTCGGCTTCGACCTATAGCATTATATACTAATAAGTTGTATATAACCAACCACCTTAGATTCACCTTGGCCTTTTCGTTGGTTGCTTCTCGAAACGAGGCTTGCAACGCATTCAACTGGCCTTCCACTTCCCGAACCATGGCCATGACACTTTCTAAGGCGGCGTCCGCATTTGCCTTGGCCGCGCGGGACTCTTCGAGGGCGTCCATGAGTGGCTTAACTTTGACGTAAACCTTGTTGTACGTCATGATATTGACGACCCACGTGCACAGGTTGGCCGCTGCCACGGACTTGGACTTCATTTTCTCGTAGTTGAAATTCGGATCTTCCAAGATCGGTTCCACGCGCTGGACCACTTCGATAGGGATGTGCTCCTTGTCGTATTGCTCGAGCTGGATCTTGAACGCGTCGACCTTGGCCATCATCTTCTTGGCGTTGTCCCACGTGAAGTTTTTCGTTTCTTCTTTGATCATCATGAGCACCGCGGTCGTGACTCTGTCGACCCCCGCCGGCGGCTTTTGCATCGACTTGAGCTCGGTGAGACTGGCCTTGTTGAGACAGTTCACAGCTTCCTGCGCAGCTTTCAACGCCGGCTGTGCAATTTCCAATTCCGCGGTCGCCTGGCGCTCGATCTTGGTTGCCGCCTCCGCCGCCATCGCAGCCTTTTGGCGCTCTTCGTCGGCCCTGGCTTGCTTGATCTGCGCATCGTTGCGCTGTTTTCCCATTTGCTCGAGCAGCGCATCGGTGCCTTTCTTGCGGTCGTCGACTTTCCGCATGGTGAATTTGAGCTCCTTTTGCAGGGCTTCAACATCGTCGGACGTTTTCTTGAGGGTCCGAAGGCCCACGTCGAGGCGCTTGATCAGCCCTTGCAGCGACTGTCGCTTGTTCTTGAGCAACTTTTTGTAAAACACAATCAGCTCCAGGAACGAAGTGGGCGTCACGTAGTTGAACCGGCCTTGGCTTGCCTTGAACTGCACCGACGCGGAGATGACCGACAAGTGCACCTCGGCCATGTGGTGGCTCACGTTGTCCGCCAATGCAGCGGATGGCCACTCGATTTCACTCAGGAACGATGCACTCACGCTGACTAGAGCTTCCTTAGGCCACGGATGGAACCAATCGATCGATACACACTGCACGAGCGCCGGGAATTTCCGAGCACGCAGTCGAAATGCCACCCCCACGGGTGAAAAGGCCAGCACAATGTGGAGGTTGGCTCGCACACGGTCGAGGAAAAAGTTGACCTAGACAGATCCAGTTAGGGGGGCCATTTGGAAACGACTGTACCATCTGGTCACGCGAGTCGGGGATGCTGTTGGCCTTGGCTTCGGCTCGAAGCGAGCTAAGAATGGTGTCGCATTCCTCCACAGTGAAGAGATCGGCCACGGACCCATGACTGAGCAGCATACTCAAGTAAATGAGAAACGTGTCGTCCACAAGCTGCGAGTCCGTGAGCAGGAGAACCAACGGCTGCCCAGGTTTGACAGCAGCTCGGCGGGCCAAGTCCTTGATGTCTTCTTTGAGCTCGGGAACACCGTAGCTGGCTTTGACGCACAATTGCACCAACGGATACTTGACGATGAACGCTGCCAACTTGGTAAGCGATTGCTTTCCCGAGCCACCGACGCCAATCAACATGGCATGACTTCGCGGTATGGCCAAGATCCGAACTATCCGCGCCTACGAAAAACGGTGATCATTCCGTAGATTAAACCTGACAGGGAAAGATATCGAGTGGGGCGTACCACATGGTCCATGGCTGCATCGAACAAAACCAAGTGCATGACAGGAAACGAGTCGTTGTACGCGCGCAAACATGCTTGGAGCGCCGTGTGGAGTTCGGCGCGGTCTTTCATGGGAACGGGGGCGGTGGTAGTGACAAAGTCGAGTTCCCGGGGCAAGCGCGTAAACAGAATCGGCTGCGCGTTGAGCTCGGCCACGTCCTCTTCAATGTGTTTCTTAGCATGTTCGAGCAGCAAGTCTTGGAATCGAGAGCATTCGCTGGCCGACACGAGACGATCGCAAAACACGCGAGTGCATTCGTGGAGCCAGAAGCGGCCCATTTTCAGCGGCGTCGTAAACACTTCGGGGCGAGTGGACACGAGGCTTTGAAAGAGCGTGCTGAGGTCGCGCAGGTTGAAGTTGTAGTGGAACTTGAGTGCCGTGGGGAGAAACGATTCGCGCACTTCTGCATGCAAGTCCATCGTGGCCGTGAGCAGGCCATTCGCCATGCGTTTGACCACGTCGCTGAACGGCTGCAAGTGGTGGTGCCATAACGTTCCAAACAAGTGAACGCAGTCCGATTTGGACGGAAACAAGTGCCCGAACGTGGCAAAGTGACGCTGTAGCCGGGGATTGATCGTAAACGACCCGGCTTTGTGGTTCATGCATGCCACGAATTGGACATCTTGAATCGTTTTTTTGTACCCCACTTCCACTCGGTCGTACCAGCCTCCGTAGTCCATGAACTGCCGCAAGAGCGCCACGGCGGTTTGCGTGCCGTACTGCTCGACCATGGGCATGTTGACATCGTCGAGAAAGTACACGAGCGACGACTGGTGCGGCGGGCCATACATGCGGCCGCTTCGCTTCTCGACATGCGCTTCCAGCTGGCGTTGCAGCGTGGCGGCGTCCGTGTAATAATGCAGCGGGATGCTCGCGACATTGATCGTGTCTTCTTTGTGTTTGAAACAATCGCGCACGACCGTGGTCTTGCCTGTGCCGCCCCCGCCCACGAGCATCACAGCCCCGCGAGTCGGCAACACTAGCGACAGCAAGTACTGCAGCCGCACGCTTTCGACCGTCGGCACCACAACCGAGTAGAATGGAACGTCCCCCAGCGCAATGGCGCATTCCGGCACGACGTCGCTCCACGGCAAAAACTCGTTCGAGTCGATGTGCAAGCGCATGTCAAACACAGACAACGACGACCCCCCTCCTGGCGTCGAGGTGGCGTCGCCATCCGTCGACGGGGGCTTCATATTGTCTTTTTTCGGCGACGTTCTGGCCAGAAGAGGCTTGATCAAGTGGCTGAATGCGCGTCGGCTGTCCTTGGGCTCGGCGTCCAACGCGCCGCCAAAGGCCCAGAACGCACAGAACAAAAACACGTTTTCCAGCACGTCGGGGGACTTTTGAGCGTCGGTGAGCGTGGCCACGAAGCCTTCGAGGAGTCGGCACAGGGTTGTGACCATCGCGAGAGGGGGCATGGGCACCATGTACACCAGCTCCTTCTTGTGTTCGGCCAGCACTTGAAGAAACGCGTCGGCATGTTTGCGGAACAAAGCGCTCCACATTCCGCCTTCCTTGCGCGTCTGCGCCCACGACTCGACGTACGGGAGGTACCCAATGTCCGTGTCGTTGATGTACAAGATGCCGGCGCGACTGACCGTGGCCGGGGTGGCGTTGTGCAGCGAGTGAATTTCAAACACCATGCGCATGGAATCTGTGAGCGGAATGCGCTCGTTCGAGACCAGCGTGAGCACTTTGTTGTCGTCCATGACAGTGTTCATGCTTTCGATCCAAATCGCGTCGATATCTCCGTCCAGCACGACCCACTTTCCCCGTTGGTTGGCAGTGTACGGAGTACTTTCCTTGGACATGCTTCGCATGAGCATGGACAGAACGCCGTCCTTCCAGTCTCGGCTCAATGTCATGTACCCGTACAACTCGTCGGACGAGACCGCTTTGGGGTTGATCGTTTCGTACACGACCACTGGCTTGGGCTGCGACACGTTCAACACGTGCGCCAGCGTGCGCCAAATCGTAGTCTTTCCGCATCCCGCAGGGCCCAGCAGCATGACCGAATGGCGAACTTTGAGCAGTTGGTCGTAATCGACCATCTTTTTCACAAACGTATCTTCGGTCTGGAGGCCCAGGGCCAGACACACCGAGGTACACTGGGCTTTAAGCGGGGACTCTGGCGAAGCTTCGACCACTGCGCTAGGGAACAAGTCTTTGAGTAAGCCGAGAAACACAGGGACGTCTCGAAGCGGCAGCTTGGGCACGTTGAAGTCACGCAAGGCGCGCATGAGGATGGTTTCTTCTTGCGCGGTGGGGTCGGCGCGCTTGAGACTACCCGCCACCATGAGCACCGACTTGACGGCGCGCAACCCCCAGTCGTAATGCACTTGTTTGCTGAGCAGTTCTGAACTGAGCTGATACAGCGTCACAAATTTCTTGGCAAGGGAGCGGGCGTGGAGAAACCCTTCGGACATGAGCATGTTCTCGGAGATGGGCTGCACATCGGGACGAATCATGGCACAGGATCGGAACAACGCTTTGAGGTTTTCCGGCAGTTCGGTACGCCCAGCGTACCCAGGGTTCATCGTGATGAAGAAGCCCACGGTGGGCACCAATGTGATTTTCTTGCCTTGGAAGTAGAACAGGCCCACTTTCAACGGTGGCGTGCCTAATAATACAAAACGACACCCGTGAAATCCATCCAATGCGATTGATTGTATTTACCGGCTGGGACGCCTTGGTATTCGAGTTCCCGGTTGCCGGGAACCGCGAGCCACGAAATCGCGTCCAGCACCGACTTGACTTGAGTGGCCACCACAGACAGCACTTCGACATTGATGCGGTTAAACTCGTCAAAGCAGCCCCACGCGCCAGTTTGAGCCAACCCCCGAAAGATATCGGCCATCGTTTGGTAGTTCATTTGATCCGAACAGTTGAACACATAACACATGAGGCCCATGCCCCTTGCCAAGTCTTTGGTTGTTTCCGTTTTGCCTACATCATGCAATCTTGAGCAATGTACTATATGAAGCACCACAGTTCGCTCGTCACCTGTGCCAGCGGGGCCAGCGGGGGCGCCCCCCAAGTACAGTCGCAACGCCGTTGTCATGGTGACATAACAGCGATCAGTCAGCGGCGTGATGACGAGTCGTCCGCAGTTGCCAATGTACTCGTACGAGTATAGCGCTCGGAAATCACAGATGCGAATAGCGACTTGCTTGGTCGTTTGCGGGTCCAAGTAATAGTACCGCAGTTGGGACTGCCACGTAAAATCCAGTACCGAGTTGACCTTTTTCGCCACGAGCGTTTGAATGACATCTCGCGCATGCACGTCCACCGTGATGACGGTAATGATCTTCACTCGGTCCAGCTTGGTGAGCTCGCCTAGAATGGATGGATGGAAACTACTTACTACTAGCAACGCATTTAAAATACCTTGCACCAACTTGATCAAGTCGTCCAACCGGGCGTTGCACACTTCGTAGTACTTTTTCAGCGCGTCTTCTTGTCCGCCTTCGAGCTCCTCTAGCGCCTTCTCCGACTCTTCGGTCCAAATAATCTGGGAGCCGAGCAAACTCAACTGCGCGGGGTAGTCCATCACCCACGCGTGCCGCGCGACTTCGAGGCCCCACGCGGCGGACGCTTCCAGCGCGTCTTGCACGATGCGTCGGAGGGTGCTTTGCATGACCAAGAGCAAGTCATGCAGCCACAACTCGACGGCTGTGCCAGCAGTGATGAGGAAAGGAGTCGGGAAAACAATCATCTCGCCTTCTTTGGACATGGCTGACACGGCCGTGAGCGGCCATTGCGTCACTTCTTCAAACTGGAGACACCGAATGCCGTCGAAGCAGTCGGTCAAGTGTGGCTGAATCTTCAACGGATCGTTGCCGTGGCTGAGGATGTCGAGCAACGCTGCATTCGACACAAAGTAGAACCGCGGAAACATGTCCTTTTTCCCGTCCAGGTACTGATTCAGTGCCTTTTGGCACACTTCCAACTCAGCAAACAAGTCTTTCAACATGGGCTCGCGGTTGGCGTTGCCACACGTGTCCAAGATGCCCAGTCGCCCCTGGATCTCAGTGTACAGTTCCTTGAGTTGGCCATCGATCCCTTCGAATCGCTTCGTGTCGTGAGGCAGTTGCAACCGAATGTCCTCGGACGACATGAAGATGCGCTCGAGCGACAGCCACGTCTGTTGTACTGTGAACCACAGTTTGAGCACTGTTTCAACGTTACCCAACGTTTGCTGCCACCACAGCACCTTGTCACGGAAGTACTCGACAAACTTGCCTTGTCCGGCCATGGCTTGGAGGGCCAGCTGCTGCTCTTCTAGCATCTCCACGATCGAGTCTATTTGCATGGCTTGCAAGATCATGGTCGTGTCGTGGTGCGGCACCACCACAAAGCTCCACGTGGACCAGACGTTGGAAATCGTCCACAAGTCCGTTTCGATCTTGAGCTCGCGCGTCGCCACCTCGACAATGTCCTGCACCTCGATGTCAAATCGGTACAAATCCAGTCGGAACAGGTCCTCCATATGCACGTTCTCCATGTGCACCGTCCATGTCGCCATAGCCGCCGTACTTTTCTTGGTCACGACCAGCAAGTTCTTCCAGTGACGTTCGCGCATCGCGGGCGAGTGCAGCAGCTCAATCAACGGCAGCGTGGCCGCCATTTGACTCAATTCGGTCTCCATTTTCTTATAAATCGCCCAGTCACGGACCTTTGCCGGACATTTGAGCATCACCGCCGTCATATCTTTGACGCTATCCATGAGCGTCTCCATATTCGCGTCTTGCCATGACAGCCCATGCCACGACTCGAATGTGGATGTGGTGCGGTGGAACATGGTCCATACGCTGTGCAGGAGTCCCCACTCAACGCGGCACACGTTGAGCCCGTCGAATTGCGTGTCGGCGAGCTCAAACATGTCCTCGAGCTGGCCAAACCGGTTGGCATCACCTTCGATCTCGTTCAGTCGGGCGTCGACACTAGCCAGAACTTCCATGGCCTTGGCCACGACCTGCTCCAGCGGCGCCGTCGGGCCGAGCATCACCGCCACGCCTTCGTACGTAAACGGCGCCTTGGACAGAAACTCGTCGCGGAACGCATGCACGCGCTTGGCAAACCCGAGCAGGTCGATCTTGATGGTTTCCACCGCCTGGTTTTGCATGGGCGCGATCACGTCCTTCTTCTTGAACGTTTTGTTTACCATCGAGTCCCATCGCAGCGGCGCCTGCTCCAAGCACTGAAGCGCAGTCTCTTTGCCCACATACGACACGTCCAAGTGAATTCCGTGGCGCTTGAGCAGCGCAACGGTGTCTCGGATCGGTCCAAAGTTCACCTGTTTGGTTGCCATGAGCCGGCGGACATCTTGGACGTGCCCCATGCATGTCATCAGAGTCGCCGTGTCCGTCACGGGTACGTCCAGCCCCGTGTTGACGTTCGAAATGAATGAGTCGACCCACGTGAGCTGGTTCACGACGCGGTCATGCAGGAATTGCGTAAACATGTACACCCACTTGGTCACCCACGTGCTGAGCGCTTGCTTGATTGGGAGCGAATTCACGCGCACAAAGCACATGTCCCGCGAGTGCTTGGCCTCGCTGATTTCGTTTTGCAAGGTCAAGCACGTTTGAATCTTGTCGTCGAATTTGGCCAAGTGCAGCAACGGCCCAGACATGTCGACGGCGTTCTTGCTGTCGGATGACCCCACAATTGCCACGCCCGGATCCACTGGCACCCACGCCGTATCGAGAAACGATGAAAACATCGCGTTTAAGTCGGTTGACCACAAGTACTCGTACGCCATTAGCTCCTTCTTGTACGTGTAACACGCGGCTTCGTTGGCCAGGCACGCGCTGTGGATCTCCGCCACACATCGCTGGATTTCCGGGTTTTCGCGCATTTCCTTTAAGTACGTGCCTTCTGACGTGTCCAGCCGCTTGAACAGCGACGCCACTTGGAACGTGGCTTCAACCCACGTGTGCACGACGTCGGTGACACCGTTTTTGCTGGGAAGGGACCCCACGGACGGCACAAATACAATGTCCTTGCCGTACAAATCGAGCTCGATCTCGAGAATCGGCGTCAAGTCGTTCGCGTCAATGTTGGCCGGGTTCAGTTGCGACTGAATGTACCGCAGCGACGTGAGAACGACCTTGGCGAGGCCGTCTTCGACGATGCCGTTGATGTAATCCACGTACGACCGCCAGTCTGGACTTCCTTGCGATACTTTGAGCTTCTTGAGTGTGTCCTTGAGAAGTCGATGGATCTCATTCCCGCCTTCTTTGATCACCACGTACTTGGCCGCTCGAAGCGGCTGTTGCGATTCCGTGAATTCCGTCACGCTCAGCGGTTTCGACCGCCGCTCAAACAACAGGCCTACGACAGAATGATAAAGTTCAGCCATACATAGGTAGGCCCCTCATATATATATATACACCTGTGTTCCAGTTGTGCAGCAACTCTTGGACCCGCGCTATATGCGCTTTCATCGCATCGAGCAACGCCGTAGCTTCGTTGACGTCCGTCATGCTGTCTTTGAGAAACATATCGATGCCGTGGGACTTCCAATTGAGCGACCGGATGCCCCGTGACAGAATTTGGTCGATCTTGTCCAAGTGGCCCTTGACCAACGGTCGCTCCACGGGCAACAAGGTCGTGTGTACGCGGTTGTACATGTCCACAATCAGGTCCAAGTTGCCTGTTTGGCGTCGAAACACTTCGGCTTTTCGGTAAATCGTCATAGCTTCTTCGGGGATTTCCAGGTTGAGCACGATAAAGTACTTGACTTCTCGCAACAATTGGACCAGTGCCGGGTCAAAATTTACAAACACCAGTCCTACATGATTGAATGAGTCGACAGCAGTACGACCGACGTGAAGGACTTACCGGTTTCGGCGTCTTTTCGCAGCAGAGGCAACTTGAGCTTGGACTTGGACGAGATTTCAATCGAATGCGCCCATGTTTTCACGGTCGCAGTCTCGTATTCCATGAGCGACGCCACGAGGTTGGTGTACATCTTGATCACTTCCTTCGAGTCTTCCCGCTCCAGCACCGATCGGTTCAGCCGCTTGAGCTTCTCCATAGGGTACGCCACTCGATCCAGCAGCCCCCGGCACCACGTCACGGCGCCAGCAAACGGCGGAAAGTTGTAGCCAATGGGCGGCACATCCCGCTTGTCAATAAACACTTGCTGGACCACATGCAGGTCTTCACTGTACGATGCAATCAGCAGCGCGTGCTTCTTTTCCAGTTCGTTCTTGATGATCGGGCTACGCACAATGTATCAATACTCAAATGTCCATATTTTCTGCAGCGTTATAGTAGGTAAATAGTTGGTATTGATAATACCGTTCCAAGAGATCGTCAAACGAATCGAGCAACTTGAATCGCCCTGTGATAGACTTGGAGTCGTCGAACGCTTGGTTCACCACGGACGCCAGCCGCCGCTCCAACTCCTTGTTCTTGGACCGGAACTCGTAAAAGTCATCGTCGAACCCCTTGGCGTCAATGTTCAGAAGATCGTACTGGACGTGCTTGACCACCGCCACCGTTTCCTGGAAATCCGCAAAGATTTGGTGCACGGACGTGGTCAGCGTCTTGCCTTTCGTCCCTCCAACCTACAGACACATTCCGTACCATTAGAAACCCTATCATCATCATTGTATTATTATGGTTAGTACCTCGATTTTGCTCAGCTTGCCAAACTGGAGAATGGTCTGCGTCAGCTCCAACACGTCGTGGCACCGTTCGAGAAACGCATCCAACCGCACAAACAGCGCGTTGTTCTGGATGCGCCATTGGTTTTGCGGACACTCGACGTTGGCTTTGGCTTTGTAGTCAAAATACGTGGCTTTGAAAGCTGCGCATACTCGTAGCGTGGTCTTGAGCCTGTCGAGCGCTTTCAACGTGTCGTCGGCGTCGATCAGGTCAAACAGTTGCTTGCCATTCATAAACGAAAACGCCTAGGATTGTGTTAGAACTAGTTGCCCTCGAACGAACGGCTGTCGCGGTCGTCGTTGAAGTAGGTAGGTAGGTAGGCGTGCACATGAACGACAGAAGTACCTTGCGAATTAGCTCGTTGCAGATTTGCCGCATGAGTACCACCAGTCGCGGCGGCGAGTTGTAAAACCGACTCCATTTCCACACGAGGAGAATCGAATGCAAAATGGGCCGAAAGATCCCGACCAGCGCTGTGAAGTCGGCTTCGTGTTCTAGTTTGTCAAACCTACAATAATACATGACGTACATATATGTCAGCGGTTAACGAGGGGGCTCCGCATATTCATATATATATATATATATTGGTTGTCATACCATGGCAACAACGGCGCGAGGAAGAGGACGTTGTCGTTGGCTTCGGCGCGGGCATGAAAGACTTCTTTGCACAGTTTTGCAAACGGGATGTTGTACGTACTCTTGGACACGTCCAGGTATTGCAGCACCTTTCGGATGCTATCGCTTTGGAGCTGGTCAAAGATCGAGTTGAGATTCCGGGCTTTGGCGGTCCAGAATCGATTTTCTTCGGACGGTCCGGGGTTCCGAGGGGTTTTGTCCTTGGCGTGGTGGCTCAAGAGCATTTCCGGGTCCAGTTTCAAGATGTTTTTGATCTGTTTGGTCCAGATGATCAAGCATCCTTCGAGTACGTGGACTTGGTCCTTCAACTTGACTTCTTCGGGACTCGCTTTCGTCTCGGGGGGCAACGGTAGACACGTCTCGCCCTTGGTCTGCCCCAGCGTGATCTGCAAACTCGACATGAACGTCTGGATGTTGTCGGTGATGGACGTCGCGACCATTTCTGGCCACGCCAGTTGGTTCGTGGGATGGGTGGACAGCGGCACGAACACATCCACCATCATGCGATGCATGGTTTCCAGCAGATTCCGCGTCAACGTGCCCGTAAGCAGCTCGGACGTGTACTTGTCCATGCTCACAGGTCCTTTCATGACCTTTACGATGTACAGCACGTTGAGCGACTCCTTCACAAACATGGACGGCGCGATAGCGTTGTAAACGCAGTATCGATTCACACTCGTCTCCGACACGAGCAACACACGCGTTTCGCTTGACAGAAGGAACTCGGTCACCTTTTGGGTCGTGGCTTCGGACGCAAAGAACGCACGCAGAGTGTCCAGGTTCGACGAGCGGTAAGCGGACTCGAGGATACGCTTGATGTACTCCACCCGCGGATCGGATGCTAACGGCGCGGCTGACTCATTGTTCTTGGACCTGACGAAGGGTTGTTGGTCGTCCACGTCGGCCATGTCGCCGTCGAGATCTTGGCGGGCTTTTCGTGTGACCTTTCAGGAGTGGGAGTGGACTTTACGTGGTCGTACTTAAGCGAGCATACATAACAATATTAGTTGATACAGGTTTTGTTGACCTTTGTGATTTGAATTGGAATTTTCCCTGGCAAATCGATTTGTCCCACGGGGATTTTGGACGTTTGCGAAAGATGTCTGCGGTGGCGGCGCCGACGACGGCTAGAAAAGGCTTGCTGACGCGACTCGTGGACAATGGCCGTGTCCAGCCGCTAGCCCTATACGTGGCATGGATCGGAGTCCTCTTGGGCATCGCCTGGGTCTTGGCCCATCCAGTGGCAACAGTCACAACTGGGGAACTTAAGAGTCGCGGGACATACTTCTCCGAGAATGCGCTTCTGGTCGATTCAACAATGTCGGACATCACAGATCTCCAGGTACTTCATCAATATTAGCGCTATTCAAGATTCTTTCGTCTGATGCGTCCATGGCCAGGCATCGTGGGCCAAGAAACTGCACAAGGAGTACATCAACCTCGAGTGGACAGACGAGAACGGCTGCGAGCTCCACAGCACTTGCACGCATGTGATGCATTGGATCGAATCCAAACTGCACGCGATTCCCGGCGTCGAGGTGTATCGCCAACAATACACCCAGCATCTATACGACGCCGAATATGTCAACCGTACGAATCTGTACGCGGTCTTACGCGGGGCTCCCATGGTCGACGGCAAGGAATCGTTGGTGTAAGTCAGCCACTGTCCCATTCCCCGTATCTCAGGGTATGTAGATTGGTGGCGCAATACCCCAACATCCCTGCTACGAACAAGAACGGATTCTCGGCATTAACCGTCGGCTTGGCTATGCTGCGCTACCTCAACGACAAGAAATGGCTGGCCAAAGACGTCGTGTTGCTTCTCACCGACGGTGGGAAAAATCCTTGCATGTTGTACGCCGTGTAGGGATTTTTCCTCATGCCCAATGGATGATTTGTCTAGATGGGCCCAACGATGGCAGGGACGGGTACTCACCTGGAGTCGAGGTAATGATATTCCTCTATTTCCCAGGTACGAGATGTTCATGCTCTGTTGGCATAGGCGTGGCTGCAAGCATACCACTCGGATCCATTTTCGACATCGTCGCCGTTACCTATGCATGCTGGTGTCATTCGTGGCGCGATCAACCTGGAAACGAGCTCAGATCGCCACAAGTACAACGCCGTAAGTAGTTCCACCCTGTATCTTATTATTATTAGTATCCACCAGGATTACGAAAGCAAAAAAAAATATTATTTTTTAAATAGTATGGTATCGTTATATGTGAATACTTATAACGTTCGTATGCATACTTCGCATAGGTGGGCATATTCACGGCCGGAATGAACGGCCAGCTCCCGAATCTGGATTTGGTCAATTCGGCAGTAGACACACTCGAAAACGAGCGATTCGCTATTGCCTTGGACAGGTATAAACCCTACGAAAACGTTGTTTCTTAGCAAAACGTTTGGTTAGATGCGCCGACTCGTCCATTGTGTGCGATGATGTGCTGGAGCTATTACACCCGTGGGTGCGCTCAATGGTGTCCCCCGACTTGGACGGGTACCTCACGCGGCTATTCACCATGCTTCGCTTCATGAAAACACTGGCAACGGGGCCATCGGGGCCCCATGCCAACTTCATCCACTACAACATCGACGCCATCACCGTCGCCGCCCTCCATTCGAAAGCATCTTCGTCCTTTCAGCTGTCCAACTGGATGCGCGCCATCGCCACGGTCGTGCGCGGCGTGAGCAACTTGGAGGAAAAGTTCCACCAGTCGTTTTACTTTTACCTGCTGCCGTCGACCCGCACGTTCGTGTCCATTGGCGAGTACTATTACCCGATGGTGCTGCTGATGCTACCTTTATTTGCGCACACGCTGTATATTGCCACCAACACGGTACGAATCCGATCTTTTTGGCTTGTGAGAAACGGACCTATGTATATAATATTTACATACAGGGAGGGCTTCGGCTGGCGTTTGCGCTGGCGGCGTTCGCCACCGCGGCGGGCCTGGGCGTGCTCTTGCTCATCCTGACCACCCATTTGTCGGTGCTGGACCCCATCGTGCCGCTGTTGGACCTGACAAAAACCCACCCCGAGACGCTTAGTCGGTCCTACTGCTGGACGCTCGTGGGGATCGCCGCGGTGTTTCAGCTCGTGGCGGTGCGCTGGCTCGTCCCGGCGCTGGCTACACACGCCTTGCTTGACGGATGTGTGGACGAGAGCCAGTGGCTGCGGCAAATCCACGACCACCGCAAAGAATTCCAAGCGACTCGACCGGAAAACGACCGGAATAAGGATCTTTTGGTACGTAGAATGAGTTATTTGGTTCGTATCGACAATGGAACACTGGTTTGTATAGGTCGAACACGTGCCGTATACGTCCGACAACGGGTGGCTCGCCGTGAAAGGGCTGGCGTCGATCTTTGTCATGTACGAGATATTGAAAAAGTGTAGTAGTGCAATAGTCCGATGCTGAAGTTGAGATCTGTAGTGTGGTGCACTGTGCCGTGGGTATCCTCAACTACCCGTTTGCCCTGCTCTGTACGTTGCCGATAGTTCCGCTGATTGCTCTCTCCAAGCCATCCGTGGAATCCACAACCATTCGCAGTGCATTCAACGCACTGTTGCTGCTTTTGCTCAGGTATGTTTGTTTCCCTACATATATGTTCTGCAATCATCGATTACTCTGTACATAGTCCCGTCGGATCTCTCGTCCTCTTGGACGTTGCCCATCCTGGAGGTACGTGAATAATACATGTTAAGACCATGTTTGTGTGTCTTATGCAAATCTAAATGTAGCCATGGATGGATTGGCATATGGAATCAACGGCTACGCCCGACACGGTTTACTGACAGTGCCGTACCTGTGCATGGTGTACTTTCCGGTGCACACGCTGGCCATGTGGGTGTACTTCTTCCAGCCCAAAGACAGCGCGACCGATTACGACAATTAACACTCTTAATCTAAGGTTCAAACGAACGTCGTTGTATTAATAATCGCCACGTCATACTGAGAATTCGCTATAAACTTGCAAAATTCGCCTGGTCGGTGAGTTTCGATTCGACGGGGTCTGGAAATTCGTATCGAATCCACAATATATTCTAGTTCCATATTAGGACGTGATGTGAGTTTACTACTGTAACTGTATGTAAAGTCCAAACCATCGTATTGTTGTATTAATACTTCCGGTAGGTAGTGAGGAGGCGTCAGTTCCACGACGTTGTCGCTCGGTTTCATCCCACACGTAACTCCTATGTCCATCTGTGACATTTTCACAATTAGCCGCCATGACCGAGCGAGCGATGCCGACCCGCGGCCCAAGCCGGTTGAGCCATGCGAGTTTCTTTGGTGTGATGCGGTCTTCACAGGACATTCGCAGCCGCATCAACACCCGCAAACTGTCGACCAGCGTCATCATGGTCGTGCAGCAGCGCCAGAATCGGTGGACCATCGACGCAGAGTCCACGTGGCTGAGCGTGTGGAACTTGGTGCTCATGGTGGCCATCTTCCACGCCGTCTTCTGCGTGTCGTTCTTGCTGTCGTTCCAACTCCACGACGACGTGGCTGCGACCCACGTCCGCCTCGACGTCCTCGAGTGTCTCTTTGTCATTGACATTTTCGTCAACATGCACACAACTTTCTACAAGAACGGCAACGTCGTCATGGAGCTGTGGCGCACACGAACCAAATACGTGTGCTCGACGGCGTTCATCTTGGACTTGGTGCCGTTGCTGCCCCTGCGGCGCTGCTTCTTCCTCGACCCGGTTGATCCCATGGCAAAGTTCGTGGACCTGGTCAAGTTGCTAAGACTCGTTCGACTGCCCAAGTGCATTCTGCACGTCGATCGGCTCTTCGCCAAGTACTTTGCCATGGTCAAACTCGTCAAGATCGTCGCGGCGTGCGTGGCGGTGTCGCACGTGTTGGCTTGCATGCGGGGTTGGTTTTACCCCAACCAACACCACAACCAACACCGGCGCCGCCTCTCGGGGTCGTCTACGGCCGCAGATCCGTGGCTCCCCGTCCCGAGCACGTCCCCCGGGCTAGAGTACCTGGCGTCGGCATTTTGGTGCGTGTGATCTTCGATCTTGACGGCGTCTAATGTGTGTCAGGTCGTTCGGTTTGCTTTCGGGCCTGTTTGAAGGGGAAGTGCCCCACACGATCAACGCGTGTCTTCTCACTTTGGTCGTCATGTTCTCGGGGGTGTTTTTGTTCCCGTACATTTGCGGCACGTTCTTCATGATCTCGAAATGCTCGTCGCAGCACACGGAAGCGTTCGACGCCAAGCGCAACCAGCTCAAGTACATCCTGGCGTACCATCGTGTGCCTGCCGACGTCCAGCAGCGCGCAATCGAGTACATTGAGGTATGGCACGTCCATTCCTCCATTTTCGGCTGAAGCAGTTGGTTTATCATGTACATTATTCCAGCACGAACACAACACGGGCGATGCCCTGGACCGGCAATACTTAAACCAACTCACGCCCAGCGTCGTGCGAGACATCAAGGTCTCCGTGTACGAGAAGATGCTGTCCCATGTGCCGCTCTTTCGGCCGTGCGGTCCCCACTTCATCCACGCGCTGGTGGCGCTGATGGAAACGACGTCCGTGCCAGCCAACTACGTGCTGTGCCGCGAGGGCGACGATGCCGACGCCATGTACTTTGTGCAGACGGGGGTGTTGCAACTCACGAGCGCCCAGGCCGCCGTCGAGCCCAAGGAGCTTCGAAAGGACATGTACTTTGCCGAGCTTTGTCTCGTTGTGCCCAAACAACGCATTCACACTGGTACCCCCCCTACGTATTGTTTCGAAACGTATGACCATGTTGACGACCGAATGTTGTAGTCACAACCGCCACGTTTTGCGTTTTGCATGCGCTGACGCGAACCAGTACCGCCGTGGTACTGGCGGCGTATCCGCATTGGGCCGAGCGGATCCGAGAAGCAGCCGCAAAGATGCTGGCGCTGGACACGATGCGAAGGACACTCCATTCCCCAGACGACGCCGCCGCAGCCGCCGCCATTGCAGCAGCCGCGGTGGTGGTCAAGCGGTCCAAGTGGCCGCGGCTGCTGCGCCACCACACGATCCACCGCCACGGACGCAGGCGGTTCATGTGGCTTATATGTCTCCAAGCGATTCAGCTGCACCACGCCGTGTCCATTCCGTTGCACAGTTGCTTTCCAGCGATTTACTTTTCAGCCACCCTCACTATCGTCAACACCATCGCAGATCTGTGTTTGTGGTTAGACATGTACGCCAACTTGCACTTGAGCTACGATCACGACGCCGAGCACATTGTGGACGTCCAGCAATGCGCGCGGCACTACCTCCACACCAAGGCCCCATTGCACGTGATCTCGACGCTGCCGTGGTGGGTGTTTGCCCCCAGCTACCACACAGTCCTTCGACTCCCCCGCTTGCTTCGGTATTCTCTTTCACAATGACATGTCGTAGTTCTTAACGTTATGTAGGCTATGGGACTTTACCAGTCAACTCGACGAGATCTCCCACCACGTCACGTTGGATGGCCCCAAGCGCACCGTCCTCCTCTGCCTTCTCCTTCTCATCACGTACCACGTAACAAGCTGTCTGTACTTTTGCATGACGCAGGTCGACGGGTACAGTTCGCGGCCTGGACAAGACTGGCTGCCGCCTCTTGCGTTCAAACTGTCGCCTTGGAACGACACACACATGGTCGATGGACTGAACCAAATGCACGAGATCGGATCACCTTCATACGTTGAGATCATATGGAGCCAGTACTCGCACTCGTTCTACTACGCCGCGTCGGTAATCACGTCCCTCGGCCGAGGGATCGAACCCGACAGCGTGCATCAGTACATGTTTCACTACCTGTTTATGGTGTTTGGGTTTGTCTTCATGGCGTACATCATCGACGAAGTGCAAAAAGGCATCACGGCGTCGGCGGTTGAACAAGTCGCGTTCCTAAGTCGTCGGTCCAACATCCTGTGGTTCCTCCAACAGCAGCATGTGCCTCCCCGTATCCACCGGCGCGTGAATTCGTTTCTCGAGTTCTGGTGGAGCGCCCACCGAGGGGCTGACGTCAACGCCCTCGTCGCCCCCCTCCCCCTACAGACGAAGCGAGACATCCTGTCGCATGTTTGCCACGCCGTCCTCGGTCGGTTTCGGCTTTTTCACGATGACGACAGCGCCTTGTTCAAGACAATGTCGACTGAGTTTGTAGACGCGATCCACATTCGACTGTACGGCCAGGGCGAAACCATCTTCTCCGCGGGGGACTTTGCCAATGGCGTGTACTTTCTCGTCGAAGGCCGCGTGGCAGTCCACACGACACCGCCCCAGAGGGTGGCCAAGGGTATGGCGTTTGGCCTAGCGGCCTTTTCCGAAGGAACGACCGTGTTTTACGAACATACGACCGTGGCGCTCAGCGGATGCATCGTGGCCTTTCTGCCCCACGGGGGCCTTCGAACGCTGCTGCATCTGGTGCCAACATTCCTGGACGACTTGCGGAGACCGCCAGCCGACACGTCGCATCGAGGGATGGCCTCCCAGATGAGTGTCAACCACACCAATAGTCGATGGCCACTCTTGACGCAGCCCCCTGAGTCAACGGCCATCGATCCGGACGCACCCGTCGTGCTCGTGTGGGAAGTGTGCATGTTTGTCGCCATGAGTTACCAATGCATTGGCGTGCCATTTCGCATGACATTTGGCCCAGCCCATGAGCTGTCGGATTCGGCGGACAGCGTGGTCATGGCGCTTGAGATTCTCTTTCTGCTGGACATGGTGCTTCGGCTGCACTTGGGGTACTTTGCCCTTTTCTTGTTTCGTACTCTGATCGTGGTTGCTAGGTACTACGAATACGGCAACAAAGTGATGGACCGGCGGGGAATTCGGCGGCGCTACGTGCGGTCTGTGGCGTGTCTGTTGGACGTGGTGGCGATCGTGCCGCTGCAAGTGGTCAACTGGGCTGCGTCCAGTGACCTCCAGTCCGAGTCGTGGAACGCCAACAAGCTCGTGCGCATGTACAAACTGTCGTCGATGCTGTCGCGGTTCGAGCAGCGATTTGTCACGCTCAACATCCAAGTGCGTCTGTTCCAGCTGCTGTTTTACACGTTCTTTCTCAGCCATTGGGTCGGGTGCCTCTGGTATAGCTTTGCGTCCAACACGACCGACCTAGCCGGAAACAACAACGCGACCACGACAACAACGTTTGGGCTGAATCCGTGGTTGCCCCCCGCCGCGCTCGAAAACAACACAATCACATTCCAGTACTACGCGGCCCTCTTTTGGGGCTTCGGGACCATGTCGGGATGCTCCCCTCGGAACCTGCCTACCACGACCGTCGAGCGGTTCTTCAACGTGTTTGTGATCCTCGTGGGGGTATTTCTGTTCTCGTACGTACTGGGCAATTTGGCCGACATCGAAAAGGTCGTGGACGGCAACAACCGCGACTTTTACGCAAAGTTGAGTACGTTGCGGCTGTTCCTGACCAAGTACAAGTTTCCCCTCGAAGTGGAGAAGCGCATCAAACACTATTTTTTCTACCAAACATTCCATTCCATCCACCAAGAACCGATCCTCAGCGCCTGTCTACCGCCGTCGCTCGTCACGGACACGCGCATGTTTCTCCTGCAGCCCATGATCGACCAAGTCAATTTCCTCCGAGGCACCGACGCCCCCTCCCGCCAAGCCGTTCGCATGGTCGTGTCGCTGCTTGTTCAGCAGCTCATTCCCCGCGGTAAAATCATTTGCAAACAAGGCGACGTGGGCCTTGAAATGTACTTTGTGTTTGCGGGTTGTCTGGACGTCCTTGTCACGGAGACCGCATACGGGCCGCCGCCGCCGCCGTCCTCCTCTGCCATCACCCCCCTGAAGACTGCCAAGCTCCCCAAGGCGCAATCCTTTCAGACCCAGCTCATGGAGTCCATCGTCCAGCGATTTCAACGGTCCCCGGTGAATCCTGCGGCTTCGACACGCCCCACCTTTCGTCGGTCCGTGAGCATGCGTTTCAGCGACGCGTCGTCGTCACTGCGGTCGACCAGCGGGACGGTCCACGTCAAAGTAAACGAGATCCTCCCGGGAAGTTACTTTGGCGAAGCGTCACTGTTTTCTGACAAGCCGCGCAACGCCAACATCCAGGCACGCACGTTTTGCACCGTGTACACGCTGTCGCGCCAGCATTTGCACGCCGTGTTCAACCTGCATCCGACGTGGAAACAAACCGTCCTGAACATCGTCAACGGATGCCACAATAAGCGCCAGAACCAGCAAATCGTCGCGAAGGTTGGCCACACCCTCACGGCGTCCGTCAAAGCGAAAACGCGCGTGGCCTTAGTGGTGCCGAAAGTCGCTCGAAATGTCAGCACGTCCATCCTGGCGAACATCAACGTTCTCTATACCAAGACCACGGCCACCGTAGTGACCCAGCGCTGGCCCCTCAGGTAGTCCCCTTAGTCCCCCCCAATCCCCCCAACCCATAATTTCTCTTCTTGTAGGGCCCTACTGCAATACGTCGAGCGCATCGAAGTGCAGTCGCCGCTATACATCCGATGGCTTCAACTGCTCTCCGCGTGCATTGCGTACCAAGCGCTATACATTCCGTACACGATCTGCTTCGATGTGGTCGTGGTCTCAGGGGCGGTGACCCAAACCACCACGATCCTCAATGTCGCCACCGACTTGGCGTTTCTGTTTGACATGTGGTTCCGCCTACATCTGGTGGCCAATGACACGTCGGTCGAGTTTTACGAAGACCCGATCGTGGGCCCTCACAGCTATCGGTGGCCAGCCAAGTGTGTCGACCTGCTTAGTGTGTTGCCCCTCGACTACTTGGGCCGTGCGGCGCTAGACAACTCCAGAGATGACGGGCGATACCATCACGTGCTGTACTTTTTGCGCATGAACCGACTCGCCAAGCTGCTTCGGCTGCCCCACGTCCTCAGTGAAATTACCCGGCTGTCCCTGGCCAACGACCTCAACTTTCTACGAAAACTCGTCGCTGTCTACGTGTGCATAATCTATTGGATCGGATGCCTCTACTTTTGCATGACGTACGTCGATGGATACGGCGACACGTGGCACTCGTGGCTCCCCGTGGACGAGTTTGAAGCGACCAACACGACCGCCAACGACCTGCACCGCCTCGTCCGCGCCATGTACTTTTCCACAGGCATCTTCACCAACACTGGTATCCAACATATACACAGTTATCCCTCTCTTATTTGCATTGGACTTAGGCGTGACGCTGCTCCCCACAACTGTGTACCAGTACGTGTTTGTGATCGCCGTGTGCCTCTTCTGCCTCTTCGCCACGTCCTACTTCATCGGCCAAGTGTCGACTATGTTTGTGTGCCTAACGCAACACGAAGTGGAGTTCCGCATCAACGAAATGTACACCGAGGCATACCTGACCCGCACACCCCTCAAGGATACCCTCCGCCTCCGCTTGTACAAGTACCTCAACTACTGGTGGCACGCCCACCGCGGGGTCCGCCATGACGACATCCTGCAGGAGCTGCCGCCTGAAATCAAAGGCCAGGCCATCGTGTGTTTGGCCCACAGCGCCCTGACGACGTTTGTCACGACGTTCTTTGCCCCACTGCGAGGCGAATCAACTGAACTGGACATGGTAAGCAAGGCAGACGGCACGACCAGATTGGTTCTTGATTGATTTGCACGCTCCATGTATATATATATATATATATATATATATATATATGTTTTATGGTTTATATGGCTGTATAATATATACTTCGAAGTATATGCTTCATGGTTTATATGGCTCAAAAACTACAGTTTTTTGCGAGCTAGTGTCGACGGTGTGAAATGAATGCCAGTATTTGACCGTTTCGTGAATATTATTCGTAGCTCCGGTTTCGCATTGCGTGTTGCGTGCGGTTGGAGATCTACCCACACAACGAATACGTGGTGGTCGAAGGTGACATTGCACGCACCATGTACTTTGTCGTGTCTGGCAGCCTCCTCACCACGCACCACAACAACGACAGCACCATCCACCGGTACCGCGAAGGGCACTACTTCGGGGAAACCAACTTCCTCACGGCGCCGTCCGCGCCGGTGTCTGTCAAGACTTTGCGGGCATGTGAGCTCCTGGCGCTCACCGCCACGGGCCTCGTGAACGCAATGGAAGGCGTGCCGCATTTCAAGGCGGCGTACCACATGGTGCTCAAGATGTACGGCGATGGACACAAGGACGCCGTGGCCATGGAAGCCATCGGGACCACGCTGCGGCACCTCAACCCGACTTTCCTGAGCGGCAACGCGCCGACCACCGACCGCGATTATTGGGATGCATTTCGACGGTTTCTGCATTTGGTGCACACGTCGCACGCCAAGGAGATGGAGATGGATGTGTCCGCGTCGTACAAGTTCCTCGACTGTTCGTGCTGCCACGGCGCCACGGCGACTGTCCTGTGTCCGATCTGTCGCGCCAATTTCTGCACCGGATGCAACTTCCTCGTGCATCTAAACACCGAGCGAGAAGCCCACTTGGACGAAACCAAACCCATCCATGTCGCCCGCCGATTGTTCACCATGTACTATTTTGCCAAACGGTGGAAGCTTCGCGCCCAACGAGCCCTCGCGATTCGTCGAGGTGATACGAATGGAGGCGGCGCCATCCCCGCCCTACATGGCAACACACAGAACAGCACAGGTGCATCGATGGCACTGTTGCTTCAGGAAGGCATTGGGCTTGATGCCACTCCCGACGTGACAGTGAAAGTTCGGAAGGCTGACCGGAAGAAAACGCAGCATGGCCAGAATTTGTGCAGCAAAAGGCCGCGACGGTCGCGTCTGGGTCCAAGTCCAAGTGTGTCCACCGTCCTCATGTCGTCAACTAGTTCGCTAGCGCCTGGAATCATGTCTATTCCCAGCACGTCGGACATTCCGTCGAACGCGGCAGCAGTACGGCCGCTGCCGTCAAAATTAGCGGACACTTGATGGTGGATGTAATACAGTTACTAGTTCAGTAGTACTCTAACTTACGAACACTTGACTGTAAATTGAGTTTTGAAATACTGGCTTCGGATTGGTCCGTTCATTTGTCCTTACGTCTATTTCATTGGCGTATGCCACATCGCAAATACGATGGCCCGCCGAGGTGTCTTGGCGCTTACGACGCTGTTTCGCCTTCCTCATGAGGGCATGGAAGCGTTTGAGGTGCTCAGTCGGTACTAGCATCACATTGCATGAGGATAAGAACTTGACTGAGAGGTGCCACTGCTTCTGCTTTAGGGGATCTGCTATGCTGGTCCATCGCACCCGAGCCAAGCGGAACCCCTCACTCTTGCACGTGCTCACATGCGCGCATGTCGCGTGTCCGTGGCGATATCCTGCTTATTACCCACACGAGTGGCTTCAGCATGTTGACGAAGGCTTTGTTAAGCACACGCTGGCGTTACGAGAGGTACATATCATATGACACACCAGTCATTCGTGACGACTCGGTAGATCGGATCAGGGGCGACCATGTGGGAAGTTGATCTCGAGCCACATACTGCCGTGCATCCTTCCCGGTACTACCATGTCTTGGGCTATCCTTGCGTTGGCGCATATGACGATGGATGCTTCTAGAGACCTAGCCCTCCTCGAACTGAAGTCGTCCGTCGTCCGCGACGATAAGTCAGTCGACCCGTTCGACCTGGACACTGCCTTTTCCGTCGCAGAGAGCGAACCCCTCGTGTTCGACGGCCACGTTCAGCCTGACGAGACGACGACATGCGTCCAGCCGGAATCGGTTGCGGGTGCCTACTTCTGGCTCAACCCGACCACGAAGCAAGCATTTGCGTCCAGCGCCACGGTACTCACCCAAGGCATGTGCGGCGGCGCCGCCTTCACGACGCACGGGCGCAAGGTGGTGGGACTCGTGGAAGGCATCGTGCCCGTGGTGGAGAACGCCTCGCCCGCGTACAAAACGCTCGAAAACCACGTCGCGATCATTCCGCGGGACGACCTGACCGAGTTTGTCTTGGACTTTGAGGCTGGCGGCACGAATGCAGAGTTGCTCTTCACGGGCACCGGGCTGCAGGGTTAGGTACTAGGCACATAGCTCTACGTAGTTGAATGCCTTGTAGCTGGCTAGGAGGCGATGAATTCATCGGACCACTGCGTGTCTTGAGGATTATAACATGTCAAGGCTGCTTATTTTTACTACGGTAGTACTGTAGTACTATTCATAACGATGAACCAAATGTACAAATGTACAGTACAGTGCTGCCCCAATGGCTTTTCGTTTGCGAAGGCAGTTTACAGTTAATATCTGCAGGCATGGGGTCAAGGTATGGTGGGATTTTACGATTGTTGTGGTGTTGCAGAACACTGCATCCAACTTGGTGGCTGCGAATGGAGCGGCTAAAGTGATGGCAACATGTACCGGTAACGTCGCGTCGAGGTCCCACGACCTCGAAAACTTAACCGTTGCCAGCATGGATGGAGGCAATTGGAAGAGCTATATCACCGCCGCCGCCATCGGCGCTGTCGCATTGCCAGCTGCTGGTTTGGCTGCAGGAGCATTGGTTCCTGCTGCCATGGCGTACTTTGGAACGGTTGTTGCAGGTGTCGGAACCATGCACGCCGCGGGTGGAGTGGCGGCAACACTGCAATACGCTGTTGTAACCCTGGTATCCACAACGGCCGCTACAGCAGGTGCTGTGACTGGACTCATTGGTGCGGCTGCCGCTGGTATATACTGTAGCGTTCCTTCGAAGAAGAAGCCTAACGAATTATAAGCTTACTTACTATTAACGTCATACTTCGAAGTATTCTTGTGTTCTAACGTTACTCGAAATTTCAATGTGTTGTGATCGAATAAAGTCGGACATCTCATCCGACTCAATTCTGATTGGCTTAAATTCGACCTAATTATCTTGCCTTTACTTGTTGCTGCATCATTTGGGGTCACAGTCTGTCAATTCCGACTTCATTGTACTCACTCCTACATCCACAATTTTGAGAAATACTGTAAGGGGAGCGCCCAATATATGCGGGTGCCGTGCAATCCATTAAGTAGGGTGTATATGGCAACTTATGTCTCCCGTCTACGTTTTCTAGCCAGGCGTACAAATGTGACCATCTTCATTTGGGAGCGCAACTGGAGTTAGTCGGCCAGTACTGCGCCGTGTCAGGAGCCAAACTGAACATAGACAAAACGGAGATTCTGTGTTAAACCTCAACCAACCAATACTGTTCGTCCATGGCCTGTCGTTCGCCGCGTCGGGTCAGCCGATTCGTTACCTCGGCATCTTGTTGGGACACAACCTACCACCGGGATACCAAGTTAACCGACTCACGGATAAACTATACGAAACCTTTAGTACTGGGGTTGTCGCGCGCGCACAATGAACGGCCGACGCCTGCTGGTCCAGACAGTTATCCTGTCCATCTTTTGGCACTTCACGGCAGCGGTGGTCGTGCCGCCAAAACAGATAGCAGCCTGGCTATAGCTGGTGAACAAATTCATCCAGAATAGGGTTGTGGACCCTACACAAAAGACTGTATCACTGATGCAAGCGGCACATCAATACGATAAGTCAGTAGGGTGGCGAGTACCTCATATCTCGTCCATCATCGCATCGCAACGGCTTGCCCGCTTGCGCCTGTTGACGCGATCACCTACGGAAACAGACAATCAGTGGGTATGTTTAGCACACGGAATGTTTGCTGCAGCACTCGAACCGGGTGATCGACCGGATCGGCACAACATATCAAATGGGCGTGTTACAACCCTCCCAAACCCACCCGTAACCACCCCATGCTAAGTACACACGGCACTATGGAGAATGTGGCAACGTACCTTAAACTGTTCCGCCGCTCTGTCGCTGTCGCCACTCCCATGCAGGCTGATTTTTGGAACCGTCTGTAATACCGTGTCCTGCCGGTTGGCTACTGCTTCTACTACATGCAGTTAGTAAATCCCAGTTGCATACAATGCCCCTATCGAGATTGCCACGCCGTAGAAACTATCCAACATGCCCTGCGCACCTGCTCCCACGTCAGGCCGCTCTGGGACATCGTGTCCGCTCCTTGGCTACAATTTGGCCTGAGTTTCGAATGGACCTACATTCTGGATATAACCAAACTACAACCTGCCCAAGACTGGTCCCATGTGGCCACCGAGCTCATTCTCATTGCACTGTGGACGATGCTCGCCGGTGGCGTGCTGAGACGCCTGTGGATCTACCGCAACACAGTGAAGTACGAAAGCGCAAACAACCTCCATACACCGTCCGTGCTGGAAATTGTTCTGCTCAACTGGTCGGCCCAAGTACGTCGTCACATTCAGCTACCGTCGACACTCGACGACGAACGAAACCACTTCCAAGCCATCTTGAACCGCCTTGGTCAAGACCCCAGCTACCGCGGTTTCTGGACAAAATATCCGCTCCACTTATCGTTCAATCCTTTGACCAGGCGCTTACCGCTCAAGTGACACCGCTCAATTTAACAGCCGGTATATTTCACACTTGTTCATATATTTCAAATGATGTTCCATCTATTTCGATTTTAGATGCAAGTATGATCCATCGTAGTGGGACTTT